CTCCTCGATCTCCTCGTCGCGCAGCAGCGTGGACGCCCGGGAGCCCATGGCGGCCGCTCGGGCAGGACGCGCTCCGCTCGCGCCGGGCCGAGGCGCGCACCACTGCCCGGCGGCGCAGGCGCCTCCCCCCACCCCGCCCCCGGGGCCAACCGCCGCCGCGCGCGCGCGCACGCGCACTGCGTCGCACCGCCCAGAGCCGGGCACGCTCCCGCCTCTGACGTCACCGCGGGTGGCTGCTGAAAGCGCGGGGCCGAGCGCCTCCACCTCCCGCGACGTCACCGCTGTGGGATGCGCGCGCTTGGCGCGCCCGCCAGCTGGGCGGGGCCCGCGGTGGCCCCGCCCCCTGGGCTGCGGGGCCGTGAGTCGGCTCCTGGAGAGCGGCGCTCCCGTTGGACGGCGGCGCTTCCCGCGCTGCAGGCGCGTCCCGCCCCGCAGGAGCCCCGCGAGGAGCCCGCCCCCCCGCGCCGCGCCGGGCCTCGCCATGGCCCTCGGCAACGAGTGCTTCGGTGCCCTCCTGGGGAGGACCGTGAAAATCACGCTGACGTGCGGCGCCTTCCAGGGGGTGCTGCAGCGCGTCAACGCCGACCGGAGCCTCGTGCTGCGCGCAGGTCGGGCGCGGGGCGCGCGAGGCTGCAGCCCCGAACGGTGCCGTTGGCGCCGAGCCGAGCGCGCCGCCCGCCGCGAGCCCTCACAGCGCGGCACCGTGCGTTGTGTTCCTCGTTGCAGTGAAAAACCTGGACACTGGCAGAAGCACCCCTGGAGCAAAGATGTTCTTTGGCCGTGAAATAGTCAACGGTGACGCATTTCTTGCTGCGTGTTAAAGGGGGGAGGGAGTAGGCGCTCTTAGCACTTCTCGGATGAGTTATGGATGTTGATGAGTTCTTCAGATGCACAACTCTTCCCCCCCTCCCCGCCAAAATCACTAGGAAACAGAACATTTTATGTATTACAGAATGAATCTGTATTCCCAAATATCTTCTAAAAATAAGCATAATTCCATGCAGAGTGAAGGTGCTGGGCTGTACTCTGTTAAAGCTTGTTAGTTAAATAATTGAGTAAGACCAGTTGAAATAAGCACGCATCCTGTGAAGGGCTTAAAGTTTACATTTATATGTTTTTATTTGTGGAAGACGGTCAGTAAAGGACACTGCTAGGAAGTTAAATCCCTGAAAAGAAGGATTTTTCTTTTTTTGCACTCAGTTGCAGAGATAAGAAAGCATCTATGTTAACTGTAAAGAAGATGCCTGTTGGTGTTAGAATATAAATTATTTATTTACATTACAGTGGAATTGCTGGATGAACCAGGTTCAGGGAAGGGAACTGCGACGCTCTCAGAGTATGTTGAAATTTTGCTTCTTTCCTTCATGATGGAAGAAAGGGTGGGAATGCACTTGCTCAACCAGCCAGCACTTCATATCTTATCAATGTTCTGACTGAGCTATGCCGAGATTGTGTTTCTGTGCTCTGAAGCAGCAAGGAGGTGATGAGTGGAAGGCCTCCACTGCTCAAAAGATTCTTTCAAGCTATTGCTTATTATTCCTTATCTCTTCCCTCCCTGCCCCATTAATTTCCTAGGTAGAATAATTTGCTTTGTTTTTGTTCTGTTGGCTTTGGTTTTTTGTCAGCTTGTGGTTTCAAGGAAGGTTTCCCATGAGCTTTTTTTTCTGTTTCTGTGCAGCTGAACAGTTAATGGACAATTGCACAAAGCAATTAGGTTTATGCAGAAGCTTCCAAAGGTATATAAATGGCTTTGGGAAGCTGCGAAAAGTATGTTTCTCTTCTTTGAACTCCTGCAAACCCCTGCTGTTAAATGGCTTTGCTTTGAGTCTTTTCATTACACCCTGTTTCAATAGTTTATTTTTGCTGTTAAGCAAGAGTGAAGCAGCATCTACTGAAGATTCTTTAAAAAACAGTTGGATGGCACATGCAACTGTTAAAAGCAGCAACTTTCTGCCTGGCTGCTGTCTTGTCTTCTTGCTCCATAAATATGTACATTTCAGGACACTCGCTGTGGTAGCAGATTTATTTCTGCGTAATCTATTAAGAAGAAGTTTTCAGATGTAACATTTTTCAGCTATATCTAAGGGTTGGCAGGAAAGTTGTTTTACTCTATTGACATAGGGACATACATAATTAGATTAGCATAATAATAGTATGTTTTTATATCAGCATAGAGGAATTTATATTAATAGGGCTTCCTTTACTGTAAAGTATGCATGAGTGAGACTGTCCTGTTGTAAGAACGAAGCATCTTATGTGGCATGTCTCCCTGAGGTAATGTTTGTTGCTAGCTCTATTTAATCTTTTTTTGGTTGTCATATGCTACTGTTTCTGTACTTATTAAATAGCTTCCATTTCATAAGAAAAAAATGATATAACTTTTATGAACATGTTTAAAAATAACCTCATCATAAGAATTAAATAATTCACTTAAAATCTTCACACTGAATCAAAAGACATTAAAATAAGTATATGATTTCTGGGCTCAGGCCATATATTCCATGTTGTTTGTACTTTGGCTTTTTTTTATCTTAAACACTTTATTGCTGGTAGTTGCAGCAAACATTTGCTCTTACATTCTGCCTTTTTTTTCCAGAAATAAATCTGAAATTTTATCTGAAATAAATATTCAGTTGGCAAAACAAACTCTCCTTGTAGGATAGCTTCAAAGATTCCCACTTAAGAAACAGTTATATAGGACTGGGAAGTAGGTTCACGTGGGAGGACAGTTCATTGTCCAGCAGCAGGTAGATGGTGCTGGATGAAACACGTAGCTTTACTGGGATATTCTTGCTGGCAAACTGGTGTGCCATGTGTGGCCCTCCGTGCTGTGTGTAGTCTCCTCTTGCTTCTGCAGGTGCGCGTCAGCTCTTGAAGGGAACACAGAGGCAGAGACGGGTGGATGGGCATGTTGTGACCCATGGAGTTCTCCTTGCATTTCCCTAGAGAGCCAGCTGAGAGCCTGGAATAGCTTGAAAAGCTGCCTTTCAGGTAATGCAGTTACCCGTCGGGCGGTGCAGCTTGTCTTTGTCAGACAGCTTTCCCACACACAGCCATCCCCTTGCCCTCCCAGGGCTTGCCCGTGTCCAGCAGGCCGTGTTCCCAAGGGACAGCAGCCACCGGCTGGTCTGGAGCTCACGGGGCTGTAGAGCAGCTGCTCGTGCTCCGTGCATACGTCCATGATGTCAGAAGGAAACCTGGCTGCTCTCCAGAATGTTCATCCTGTAGCTCTCTCCAACTATATAACCAGCTGAGCAGTGTAACTTATCTGTGGAAGAAGTCAAAGTACTTCAGGCAGTGGTGGCGTGCTGGAGTGACTTGGGCTTGTGTTTGTTGCTCACATGTTACACAGCGTGCAAGATAACCCAAAGCTTGGTTAGACTATTGCTCTTTGCTCCTGTGCTAGCTGTGAAGGTGCTCGCTCTGATTTGGTTGTCTGGTTCCTGCTCTGTGTACTTAAATAGTTCCAGATCCAAAGTCTGGTTGGATCCCTTGGTGTTTACATGGAGCTGTGACAAGAATGCAAGGCATATGTAGGCTAAAGGGAAAGTCAGCAGCCTTTACCTAGGAAGTAGGGGAGAAAATGGGCAAGGGTTGATGTGATTTGGGAGAGCCATATAAAATTGATCTTAATTGTTCTCTTTTTATACAATTTTAGTGCTTAAAAGGTTGTTGCTTTTTTTCTTCTATGGAGTATATGATTAACAATGACATCTTTCCTGAAAGAAAAGGATAGGAAAGGAGACTCTCTAATAGAGATGCTTCTTCTAGCTGTAAACTAAACATTATTAAGCAGGTGTTCAAAAGTATGAAAATAACCTGCCTTAAATTCCCTTCCACTCTTGATCACTTAGCTGCCAGTGTTTTGCAGTGTCATTGTCTGTTAGTTCTGTCTTTGCGATCTTCTTGGACATGCTTGGGAATTGTGACTTTTATTCAGGTATTCTTTGTCATTACCTTACAGTTTTCTTTATTTAAGACTGAAAAAAAAAAATAGGCATTTTAACTCAGTCTTAAGCAGTCTATTTCTCTGAAAAAAACAGAATATTGGCTCACACTCATTGCTCACTGCACTCTTAAAGCAGGCAGTTCAGTAAAGGAGGCAGTTCAGTAATCAGTGTGTTCAGGAAGTAGAGGGGGAAGAACTGAATAGCTACACCACAAAAATAGTGCTGAACTGTAAATATGAACCTTGTGCAGAGTTTATCCATGTAGAGGAAGTTTCTAAAGGTGTGGATTTTTTTCTCCTTTGTAGGGAAGGAGGGAGAAGAGAATGTGGACTACACAGTTGTTGATTGCTTCCAGCAGAAGTTTGGCTCAGCAGTAAGTATAAAATGCTCTGTGCATCATGTTGACGTCTAACCCTCTTCCATTTGTCTGAATTGTTAGAAGATTCAAAATTGAGCAAGCTGCTTGTCTTGTATTGGAAAATGAAAAAAACATTTTTGCAGAGTGCAATGAAACTTGCATCAGTGCGTGTTGATTGCTTTTTTGAAAATTGGTATCACCTCTGAACTGGGAAGAAGGGTTTGTATTACTGGTTAGTGAATGATTTACTGAAGAAAGATCAGAGTTTGATGCTTAGAGAGGGAGTTGACTGCACTGTTTTTATAGGTGTTTTCAACTCCAGAAATGCATGGGCCTTAGTTTTGCACTTAAATTATATACAGTAGCATCAGCAGATGTGGAGTAGACTGTTCCAGAACTCTGAACTGATTATGGTAGACTTATTATTAAACCTAATAATATTGTTTGGTTGTGAATTAAACCATCCCTTGTGCCACTTGGTTTTGCAGTAACACCTATGAGTCTCTGGCATTATTTTTGTCTCTGCTGTCTGACTAGGTGCTGCACCTGAAGCAGCAGTCTGTTGTCAGTGTAGTAGCAGAAGGAGTTCATCTGTGTCGTCATGGAAGGCTTGCGTGGCTTCAGGTAAGGGGCCACATGGCACATTTTCCAAGATGTGGCACTAAAGAGGAGGTATAATTGGAAAATTTGGGGGGATTAAAGTTTAAGATTTATGGTCAAAGCTCTTCTGATAAGAGATGTAATTTTTCTTCATGACAAATCAGGTATTTCGTAAATGGCGTCCTACAGAAAGAGTGATGCGAGTATAGGGTATCCAAATTAGTTCATGCATTTTTAGTTCAGTTAAATAGTATATTCGTGCATAAAGAAATATAACTTTGTCGTCTTTATATACTTTCCCATAGTTAGATGCTTTGTTAGTATAGGTGGTATTGATTTTAAAACTTCAAGACCTGATCATGGTATTAGTATAATTAAAGGAGTAAAATTCCTTTTAATCATAGAATCATGGAATGCAATATCTTTTAAGATGCAGTATCTTGACAGTGAGTTACCATTATATGAAAAAGGGAGTGAGAGAATGAAGGACAGCATAATTTATTGGTTAGAAATGATTTTGGATTATTTTTAAATAGATCAGAAAGCAAGTGTGTTGAATACTTGAGCAAGCATGTGCATGTTCATAATTCAAACTTGAAATTCTATGCAGAAATAACTCTGAATACTTGGTATGCCTAAATTCTTTATTAATAAAACAACTTTAGTTAATCTATTATAAATTAGAGGTTTTTTATCCTATCCTATATGCTAGGATAGAAAACAACGTTCCATAATTCTTCTGTAGCAGTTTTTGACAATGATAGGAATGTCAGGGCCATTTCTATTAATTTTCTTGAATGGAGTTCTTGAATTCTTACATCTATCATAGGGACATTTTATTAAACTATTATGGATAGATGTCTCAATGTCTCATTTAACTGTATGCTTTAGATACCAGATATGATCTTAATTATTGTGAACTGCTCTGAGTCTTTTTGAAAAGCAAGTTTTTATGGGTTACTAAGGGAACTAAAGTACACTCCTCAATATGAGTCTATACTTGTGTGATTATGTTTACACTCTCTTACTTTCAAATCCTTTGTTTTTTCCTCCCTCCTTCCCCCCCGTCCCTACCTCATGTTTTCTGAAACTGACTTTATTTTAGATAGCAACAAAGAGCCAGATTTTCCTATTTGATATTTTCCTTCTGGGACCTCGGGCTTTCAAAAATGGGTTACAAATGGTGCTAGAAGATAGAAGCATCTTGAAGGTAAAGGTAGAGGGTGTGGGGCCAAGGGTTGCCTGTGTGTGTAATGATCCAGCTGCACCAAGATAGCTGCAGCTGGACCTAGGCTTCTCTGACAGATTTTTTGCCTCAGGTCATGCATGACTGTCGCTGGATCTCAGACTGTCTCTCTCACCAGTATGGAGTCCATCTCTCCAATGTCTTTGATACGCAGGTACTGTGCAGATATTGCAATTAGGAACACAAGTTTCAACAAGCAACTTCAGCCTTGTCCAGGACATCATTTCAATTCAATTTCAATTTCATCATTATCAGTGCTAGAATGTGACAGTTATTGAACATTCTGTTTGTAGTGTTTGTATTCTAACTGAAAGAAATATATTAGGGAAGGCTCACAGTGTTAATTAGAAATTGTCCTGTTTAGGCTAGAAAACATTAAATGTGGTTATTCATAGAAGGAGGTATTTTATCTTAATCGAGGTGAAAAATGACTGGATGTGTTCAAGTCCTCATGTTACAAGATTATTAATATCTAATATTACCAAGAAGTATTTTTAAAAATATGATAATACATCTTGGTCAAACTTGGTACAACCTGGTGTTATGACTTGCACATGAGCCAGGTAGACTTGTGCTTTCTGTCCCTTGTGACCCTTTCTGTCCCCTTCGCAAGTGTACAAACAGGTGAGTATCCATCATCATTCATGCAGTAGTGGTAGTGAAAAACAACAGGTAACCATGAATTTTTTTGCTTCTGGTGCTGGCCCTGATAGCTGTCTTACTGAAGAAGACAGCCGATTAGTAGGAGCATTAGAGGCTTTCCAGGGAGAAAAAAATAACATGATGGCTATGACCTTTCAGAGTAGGCATGGGTATGTTATGCTTAGTCGCACGTGACTTGTTCTGCCTGTACTCTGACTTGGCAATAGCATAGAGATGACTGTAGTCATAGCATGACTGACTGTTCAAAGTTTAGTCTGGGTTATGTCACAAGCTTTATACAGAAAAGGTTTCTCTTTGTCCTTCCCCCATCTTAGATTGGCCTTCTGCCCATAAAAATTACTGTATTGTTATTCCGACACAGGTTATTATCACTGTTAAGCCTCTACTGTTTGCAGGAAAGAAAATTCCTCGCAGTTCTGGTAACTGTGTTGACTAATTTGAGGGAAGAGCACCAGAATGTGTAACTGATACAGTGTGGATAGTTTTCATAGTTACTTCTACTAGGGCCTGAGCTGTACACAATTGCAGTGGTTGCTCTGTTTTAGTATGAACTAGCATGTACCCTTTTAATTCTCTTGATTAATTCTCTAGAGTTAGATTCAATTACTTGGATTCCTGATTAACCTTAATATTCCTGAATAATTGGCCTGGATTAGTAGTAATCCTACTGTTAATATACCTTAACTACTGGAACAGCTGAGTTTGGGGTGCAGAACAGTATAACTGATACTGAGGAATCAACCTGTCTCCTGCTCTGTGCAACTGTAGGGTCAATAACTGGGGAACACCAAAGAGCAAACTCTCATAGCTCGTCTTTGTGAAGCACTACTTTTGCAGTCTGCTAGCACTTCTTAGAGATGTGCTGTTGGCTCTGTATTTGTTTGCTGCCATAAAAAATAATAGGTATTTTTTCTAGAGATATGTGCTGAAAGAATAAAAGAAACTTAATTGAAACTTAGCTTGAGGCTGTACATAAAAAGATCAATGCAAGGTTTATTAAAAATGCACAAAAAATGCTTAATTTACCCTTATATATATATAAGCAATATATTTTACTTTTTATTTCTTTCCCCACTATCAAATATCCACATTCTGTGTTGTGGCTTAATGGACATGCCTATGACATACCAGTCCCTTCCCTCACAGGTTGCTGACGTCCTGCAGTTTTCAATGGCAACGGGTGGCTTTCTTCCGCACTGCATCTGCACCTTACCCGAGTGTTTGATGCAGCACGTAGCAGTATCTTCCAGATCAGCTGCCCTCATGAAGGGCAGGGAGCAAATGGCTTGGGTGAGTGATTCAATGAGACAGCTTGTGAAGATTCAGCTGACTAGTGCTTTGACCCCTTCAGATGTATTTTTAGACACGTAGGTATGTAAGAACTTGGTGGTCAAATTGTTGTAGTCAAAGACATTTTGTTATGCTAACGTGGGAGACAGAAAGAAGCTTTAGCTGGCGTTAGTTCTTAAGCTTGTATTTCCTAATAGTTCATTGGAAATTGAGTTAAGAACCACAAAGCTGTTAGAACAGAGGACACGTCCAACTAGGGTAAAAAGCATTCTGGATATCTCCAGTATATTTGACTGATTCTGAAACCCAGTGATAACAAAATGAGTTGGCTAAAAGAACCTTGAGTCAAGTAGGAAAAACGGGAGAATTCTGTGGGTTTTTTTGTGGTGTATTTTTGTTTTGTTTGGCATGTTACTACTCTATTGTCCATGGTTTTGTTACTCTTATATGGATAGAAACAAGGGAAAACTTAATGGACCAAAGGCTCCCAAGATCTGGGGAATGTAAAATGGATGCTGCTTCACTTTCTGTAGGTTTCTGAATCCTAGTAGTGTTCCAAGCTTTCACTTCAGAGGATCCTGTATAACAAATTTAAGACAAGTAACACTCTTGCCTTCCATAGTTAACTTTCTCAAACTACTGGCTTGCAGGCTTTTAAAAAAAAAAAAAAGTTCTCTATGTAGAAAGTATGCCAGTAGAGGTCACTTCATATTGATAGTTTTGCCCACAGTATCGTGGTCATGCTGCTTAACTGGGACTTAGATGTTTTGGTGGCTGTAGTTGTGTGGGCTGAGGATATTACTGTCTGTAGCTGCTCCCTCTGCTTCTTTAGGGAATTTTGCCTTTCTGTGTCTTTCAGTTCAACATTTCTAAGGAATCCAACTAAGAGATCCAGACAAAATGAATGTAAGAATCTGCCATTAAATACTGGAAAAATAAACAACAAAAATAGAAGCACTCCATCCTCCCAGCTTTCCTTTCCTAACAATCACAGACTTGTACATAGGTGGCCTTAGAAGCTGTAAACTTCAGTAGCACTGAAAATAGACCAGCATCTGTAAATACTGTGGGAAGAGTGGGAGAATATGGTGAAAAGTTTGTTGATGGTTTTTAATCAGAATGTTTACTTAATTGTTTTAATTTGCATTGGGATACACAGGACAATCCTGATATTTGGTTCCTGAGACCCTGTCCACCTTCTCTGCTTAAAACACTTGCTCTGAAGGCCATGTACCTTCTGCAGCTCCGCTCATCCCTGATGGATAAGTTGATGTCTGACCTAACAGCCCTGGTGGATGATTACATCAATGCTTTTCGGAACAAGTCAGGGGATTGTCTGGGAAGCACGAAGGTAGGCCTGTCTGCTTGTTTCTCAGTGCAGTGATATGGTCTCATACTCTGGATGAAGTCTGGAGAAAACCTCCCTATAGGAGTTTCCTCCTTTGTAACTGTCCCTCCTGTTTCATGCCACATACTCCTGATGCTGAGCATGGCAGCAGAGGTGATTGTGTCTGTGTCTGCATAACTGCAGTCCAGCTTTATTTGCACAATCCCAGCCCAGGCTGATACTGTGGATGTGGAGCTGCAGCTTTGGAGGCACACAATGTACCTTCTGTTGGCTCTGTTTTGAGACTAAGAACCTCTGAGATCAGCAGGGGTTGTGTGAGAGGCTATAGAGAGGGGCAGGCAACTGTAAGGTGTTAATAGCTGAAACTGATGGAATTTGCTTTTGACCTCCTAGGACCCAAAATACTTTTTAAAAATCTTGAGATTTTTAGTGATGTTTTACATATGTTGACTATTTCTGAGAAATACATTGTCTTTTGCTTTGGTAAAAGCACCTCTAGTGTTATCAGATCTTCCTAACTTCTTCTCTCATGAGTTATCTTAAAAACAAAAAACAAACAAAAATCTCTTAAATAGAACGAATAGTCTTATCTCACAAATGCAAATCCAGTTGTCTTGGAGTAGCTGTTGTGTGGTGAATGCTGCTGTCCATTTTTAAAAGGGATGGTATTTTTGGTAAAGGAACTTGATTTCCTGCCCTGATGGAAATAACAGTTCCATGCCGATCAGGACAGGCAGGGGCTGGTCGTCTTCTGTCTCCTATTCAGTGAAGAAATTTAGCAAGCGATTGTAACAACTTTTAAGTATTGATGGCATTAAAATCGAGTAGAAGCTGAGTGATCAGATATGTTCATTCACTGGGATGAGACTGAACGGATGTTGCTTGAATCATGTCACTGCTTCATGTTTACGCAATTGCAAATACATTAAAGTGTTTTAGACTTGTTCACTTTGTGTATCTTCAAGAAAAACTATTTCTCTGCCTCAGTTTGAAGTATTCAAACATAGACTGAAACCTCTGGGAATTACTCAGTAGTAGTAAATCATAGCATTGAGGATTTAAGAGGAGATTAACTCAGATAACCACAAGAGGTCATTGCTGCTTCACAGACGGCAGGGATTGTATCTGAGAAACTTGTCAGTTAAAAGGAGAGCTGCCAAGAAAGGAGATTGGCAATTCAGATGTCAGGCTCATTTCTGCCTCCCCACCCCCTCAATTATGAATAACAATATGAAATGTAAGGAAAGGCAGGAGGACACAAGGGGAAATGAGAGTGTTAAAGCAGAATACAAGTAAGTCTGCTTTGCATTAAACCATTTGTTTGTAAAAGACTTTTTTAAAGTGATCTCAGGTTAATAGTTGCTGAAGCCAATCCGTATGCAAATCCACTTACTCTGTAAGATTAGCCAGGGAATTAATGTGACCCTGAATGTTTTTCCAAAGTGACTGACCTCCGCCACTCCAGGTAAGGAGAAGCCTCTTTGGGGCTTCTGTTTTCTTTTTGGATTGTGCTCCCTGATCAGAACAGCAGGCTTCAGCCCTTTGCCAAGGTGAAGCTCAGTTCCGTGGAGGTGTTTTGGGCTGTGCTGCTTGAGCTCTTGATACCCCATTGGAAGAGTGAGCAGAATGAGGCTTCCCAGGCCTGCCCTGGCTCTGACTGCTGTGGCCCCTGCTCATTTTACTGAGTGACATCACGTTGCACAGCAATGCACTCTCCTCCTTTTCCCTTTCTTCCAACTTTAGAGGAAAAATATGGAAGCTTATGGCACTCCTACAGAAACCAATCTTGCAAGACAGGTACACAGATAGTTTTCCTCCTGTGTTTCCCATTAAAATGAAGCACAGAAGCTAGGTGAAACACACATCCATACACCTTCTCACCTTTGAGTATGACATGTTGAACCTCGGGCTGGGCCAGGGCCTGCAAGATTGATCTTCCCTTAGACTAGCACATGAGCATCCTCCTATACTTTGGATGGGACAATGACCCTGCAAAGTTCATCATGTCAATGGTTATTGTATGTAGCAATCCTATGAGGATATACTTGGTGAAAATGATGCTTTGGCTGGCTTGCTGTGGTGGAACAGTGTCATCTTTCCTTGCGTAGTGCTGAGTAATGACAGCTAATGACCAATTATGTGGAACAATTTACCTAGTCTTGTGGAGTTACCTACTTCCTTCTGTCTAATCATGGGTTTCTGCCTCCAGGAACAGACCTGCCCAGTCCTACTGTTACTCCTATTTTCAGAAATAGGAGCAAGGAAAAGTGAATGTGCGTAATTGTGGAAGAAGAGCCAAGTGTGTTCACTTGTCCTCATGCACTTCATGGGCACCTGCATCCAATAAGAGCTGCAGAAAGGCAGGTGTGAAGGAGGCTGATGAATGTAACTGTCACCACCCTCCCTTCCAAGGGTCTGTGTGCCCGGGCTCTGCAGTTTGTCCTGCAATGCAAGCAGCACTTCGTGGCTCAATGCAGAGCCTCTGCTGGGGTTCAAAGTATTGCAGCAGCCTTGGGTTGTACTCTGGAGCCCCTGATTTCAGACTTCTACCTAGTTTCATGTATCTGTGTATAGTTCTTGCTTCCTTCTTGAGGAAGGGAAAAAAAGCATGAGTGTTGATGGAGCAGAGGGGGGTTTTTAGCTTATTTTAATAAAGCTTGCGCTTTTTCCTTTAAGACAAGTTTTCATAAATAATTCAATGGATGTAAAATTCTGAGTTATCAGAGACTGTGGTAAACTGGTGGAAATGGAGAAGGATTAACAGTTTTCACAGCCATAAAGTCAGAGCAGCAGTCCAGTATTTTGTGCAAGTGGTATGTTAGAGCATTTTTGAGCTATATACACCAAACTTCCAATTTTTGTAGATTATGTATGACACCCATCTTTGGTAGCAATACCTGCAAGTACCTAACCAGGCCCTTGAAAACACAGCTGCATCTTCGTGTGTACAACTTGGATTCAAAGTGAAAGTGGCTTGGGAACTTTTCAGTGCAAAGGAGCAAATCTCCTCTTAGAAGTGCAGTATTTTCTGGTTAAAATGATTACAAGTAGATCTGTGGTACTGCAGGAGAGCTGCCCATAGACATTGCCCCGACCTACCAATGTGTTTCAGGCAAGGCTGCAGCAGACAAGCTGCAGTGCAGTTTAGGATACCAGTTTCATGCTCATAGCATGTGATGGCATAAATTCCATTTTATGGCTAAGTGTTTGCATGCCTGAGACAGGTTATTCAGATTGGCAAGTGAATTGGTGCAGCACATAATGTCTGTTGATCAATATGAAGAAACATAAATGCAAATAAACTTTAAATAGTTTGGGGCACTGCTTACCTCTCACTATAGGATATGCTACGGCAATTAGGAAGCTAAATTGAAATTCTCCTGGTTAAACAGGACTGAAGACAAGATATGTTCAAGTAAGTTCTTCCCTGTGTGTGGTTTTCCCCCTCCCTCCTCTGGCAATCCTCTGATAAGCTCTTCAAGAAGTTTCAGGGGAAGATATAGGAAGCTGCAAGCTGGTAAGTCAGATGTGTAAATGGATATAGTGGTAGAAGCACAAAGAACAGAATTAGTGAAAAATGCAGACATGATGCCTTGAGGAAGTTATCATGGCTTTCATAACGTTTTTTTTTTTTCATGGTGAACACAGGAGAAAAATATGGGAGAGTTGTTGTTTTCCTGTGACCCTTTTATATTCCAGTCATCAGTTCACCCTTCAGGTTGGCTGACATTTTCTATAGCTTGAAAAAAAAAATGTGGGTTTGTTTGTTTTTAATGATACTTAATACATTCTTCCCCTATTTGTACTCCTGCAAGTCTCCTTTTGCCTTTTCTGGTATTCTTTGGTGGTAGGCAATGCTTATTCTGCGTTGTGAGAATATTGCCTAGAACTTGTGTCCATTCTGCCTGTTTAGAGTTTAACATTTGCCTGACTGATTCCTCCTATTTTTATTTATTTACAAGCTATTCCCCTTACTACAGCCAAATGCAACTGTTCCTAGAGTTATTATTCCTAGAAAGGCAATGAGCAACATGGTCCTTTTTACAAAGCAAATTCTCGAATATAAGGTTTTGAACAGTCTTCCACACTGCTCAGGTGCATTTCACCTTTCATGGAGCAGCTGTGCCAGTGATTTAGCCAACTGACTGACTTCTCCCACATGAGGGATTTTTTTACCCATGGCATAAGAAAAAAAATATGTTTTAAGAGAAAAATCAGAAGAGCTTTGTCTTTGCAGTTGCTCCTACAAGGAAATATGAACTTTTCATTACTCTTGTAGGGCTGGCAACAAATTCATAGTGCAGAAGATCTCCTGGGAGAAATCTAAGCCCTATGTACAAAGTATTCCTTAAATTATAAAGATCTTAACTGTAAAGTAGCAAACAACAAATGTAAATTTATCTTTCACTTTGGATTGCCTTTAAGATTGTGTGTGTGTGTGAATCTCAAGAGTGTGTAAATAAGCAGGTAGTAGCTGTATTTCACAGATCAGGTGGAGAATCAATGACAGGTCTTTATTTTGTCCCATGGGTTAATTGCAGAGGGAACTTTCATCTGTTACCAATAATATGTGTAAGTGTTGTTTTGATTTCTCTTCCTTCTCCTTATTAGCCCACTTGCATGGAGCTCCCAGAGGAGCTGCTTCAGCTGACAGACTTGCAGAAGCTGCGGAGGAAGAAAGCAATGGAGGACTACAAGATAAACGAGAACGGTCTTTTGATCAGACCAGCCATGAAATTAAAAGAGAAAAAAGATATGCAGAAGGATGGAAGCCACAGAGAAGTCGGGGATTACCTTCTCACAAATAGAGAGCCATGTCAAACTACATCCTACTATGATCCAGATCAATTTTGTCAAGGAAAACATGAAAATCAAAATCATGATGATTAGATTATAGGAGAACCCTGACTCAACCTCAGAATGGCTGTAAAAAGTCTTTCTGATGCAGGTGACATGGTGAGTGCAGAATGTGTATCTTAGCGCATCCAAATGAATGAAAGGGTCTATAGCCTGTGCAGAAGCTTTAGACCAAAGCTCCTGCTTTTACCGGACAGGTAAACCTATTGTTGGAGAGGAATAATTATGGTCTCTCTAAGCCAATTCTTGCTGTGTATGGCTTTTCTTTTCAAGATTTATTTCAGGTTTAGAGTTTACCCTTTCTTCCTCTCTTGCCATGTTGGCAAGGCTTGAGAGCACTGCCTCGTAGCAGTAGCAGTCACTGAAGGTGTCTTAGAGTTGGGCTTCCCAATTCCACTAAAAAATGGGTGAAGATGCTTCACTATTTAGCTCAGTTTCTCCTTCCATCTTCTGCTATCAGTTCATCCAAGCAAATTAAAGCTATTTTTGGTATTAAAGTGGGGACTTTAATTTTTCTTGCTGTTATTGTCAGATCAGCATCTTAAATATATTGGTCCTTTTGTTGTCCCCTGTTGCAGGTGTGTGAAGCTCTTGCCCAATCCAAATATGTTGGCAGAGTTTGCAGGAGGCCTCTTTCTTGAAATTAAAAGTGAAACTTACTTGGGGATTTACTTGGGAAAAAATAAAAATGTCTGGTCAACCCATGGGGACTTGGTTCATACACAGATACCTCTTTGCATAGCTGTTCATGGGTCTTGTGAAGTGAGACCAGAAAGATGGCATCCTATGGGAAAGATACGCTTAAAAAAACAAGTGTCATGCTAATGTTCCTGCCTCTGCCCTGCTGGGACTACCTTAGGCCATAATGAACAAAGTTTTCTGCTCAGAGTGGCACCCCCATGATTGCTTCCACGGCTGCTGTATCAACCTAATGTAGATAAAGCTGTAACTGATGTGGTATGGACATATGTCTGCCTGGTATCCCTTTCAGCTCATAGCACTATCCTGCTACAATGGCACATTGAGGCAGACCGTGCCTGAGCCTTAGAAGGGCACTGAAGAGTTTTGGTCTTTGAAATTCTCAATCTATATACATGTATTTAAATACATTTTAAAAAAATGATCTGCGGGAGTTAAGCTCTTTCGAAAGAGTGGAGAGCACTTAGTGTAAGGAAGGCTGTTGAGGTTGTGCTTAGTTGTGATTAAGTGTCTGGGAGCACCGATGAGGCAGAGAGCAGGTAATGGTCAGCTTGCCCGTCAGGGATTGCAGAACGAGCAGTCAGGCACCAGGCTGCAAGGGGAGGAGGAAGTCTGTGTCTCACTGTGGGTCGGTAGCATTTTATTTGACTACATATTAAGTGTGCTCCTGAGATGTCTGTGTATGTCTCTAGTATTGCTAGGGCAAGTGTATTTTTTTCTTCTTTTTCCTGAAGTCCCAGGCCAGCGCTATTTAATCCTTTCTTTGAAACTATGCATAAAACTTGCTCACTTCTGGGAGTGAAAATAAAAATTCCCAAGGTTGTTCTTTGCTTATGCACCATATATATTTATATATATATACTTCTTTTTTTCAAAACTCCTGCTGTGTTTTGTAGTTAAACTGCAGAGTTCCTTTGTCTGTGTTGACTTTATAAGAAATAAAGCAGGGTTTGAGGCGAGCTCACCTGGGTGAGCGTTCTCGCTGCGGTGCGGTCCAGGGCGCTCCTCGGAGGGGCCGGGGCCCTGGCCCGTCGTGCCCGAGGGGGGCAGCCCCAGGCCGGGGGGGGGGGGGCTCCGGGGCCGCTCCGCCATGGCGCCCGGGGCGCCCGGCCGCGGCGGGGGAGGGAGGCGGGGGTCCCCAGCCGCCCCCCGCCGCCCTTCCGGCGGGCCAAGGGCGACCGCGCGTCACTTCCCCCACGCACGCGCCCGCCCTGCCACCTACCCCCTCCCCACGAACCCTCGCGAGAGTTGCCGCCTCCCTCGCGCGAGACTTGCTGTCTCACCCGGCCGCTTCGCCCGAGTCCCTTCGGCAATTTCCGTCACGGCCAGGCTCTACCAATCGGCCGCGGGAGCGCATCGATGGGCGCGGGCGCCGCGCGGGCTGCGGGCGGCCATGGCCCCCGCGGCGCGAGCTGCGGGGCCGGGCGGCGGCGGCGGCGGCGCGAGCTGCGCGGCGGCGGCCAGGTGCGGTACCGGGGTGGCGGGAGGCTGCGCGGGACTCGATTGTTCAGGCCTGGCCATGGCGCCTCTCCTCCCCCCCGCCATGGCTCCCCGTGTCCCTGCTCCTCTCCTCTCAGTGAGCGAAAGTGGCCGCCGCCGCCGTCCCAGCGCCCGCAGCCGCCGCCTCCTCCTCAGCAGCAGCGCGGGCGCCATCTTGGCCAGGCAGGAGCCGGGAGGGCCCCGCCGCAGGACACGGGCAGCGCCAGCGCCGCCAGCGGCCCCCGGCCCGGCGCCCGGAACGTCAGCGCCAGCACCGAGGCCGGGAGCAGCGCGGCCGGCGCCAGGAGCAGCCACTGGAGCCACGCGGCCGGGATGGCCCACAGCACCTGCGGGGAGGCGGGCCGCGCTCCGGAACGCGCTCCGGGCCGCGCTCCGGGATTCGCTCCGGGATTCGCTCACCGCGGCGGGCACGCAGGCGGCCAGCGAGTAGCCGTAGGCGCTCACGGTCTCCAGGAGGCTGTAGGGAGCCGGCCGCGATCCCGGCTGCCACCGCAGGAAGCCCCAGAGCGCCAGCGGCGCCAGCCCCGCGTAGCCGAAGGCCAGCGCGGCCGCCACCGTCACTGCGGGCGAGGGGGGGTCACGGCACAGCCCGGCCGTGTCCCGGCTTCCCGCGGAGCCGCCGGCACCTTTGTGGATCTGGGAGCCGGAGGGGGATGTAGGAGCCGTCCCCAGCACGTGGGACAAGTGGCTGCCGCCGGCCAGGGCCAGCGCCAGCGTGACGCAGATCCAGAAGGGGCCTGGGGGGCGGGCGTGTGCTGAGCGCCCTTCCCGGCGGCATTCCCGGAGCCGYGGCATTCCCGGCGGCATTCCCGGTGCCCCCTCCGTCTCTCACCGTAGAGGTCAGGGTTGTTCCGCAGCCGGTGCCGCACAAAGTTCTTCCCCGGCAGCACCGAGCCCCGGATGCGCTCGAGCACCTGCCGGCRGGAGCGTCAGCGGGAGCCGCTTCCCGCCGGATCCGCGTCCGTCAGGGATCCGGTGTCYGTGGGGGATGCGGACCCGTTACCTGCGCGGTGTCCACGTCGAAGAAGCTCCGGTAGAAGTCGAAGCTCCAGAAATTCCGCGGCTGCTTCTGCCCGGCCAGGAGCTGCGGGGAGGGAAAGGCCGGGAGGCCTGGGATGGATCTGGGGGGATCCCGGCGCCGCTCCGGGGATCCCGGTGCCACTCGAGTGGATCCCGGCACCGCTCCGGGGGATCCTGGCGCCGCTCCGGGGGATCCCAACGCCACTCGAGTGGATCCCGGCACCGCTCCGGGGGATCCTGGCGCCGCTCGGAGGATCCCGGCACCATTCCGGGGGATCCCGGCGCCGCTCCGGGGGATCCCGGCGCCATTCCGGGGGATCCCGGCGCCGCTCCGGGGGATCCCAACGCCATTCGAGTGGATCCCGGCACCGCTCTGGGGGATCCCGGCGCCGCTCCGGGGGATCCCGGCACCATTCCGGGAGATCCCGGCGCCGCTCCGGGGGATCCCAACGCCACTCGAGTGGATCCCGGTGCCGCTCCGGGGGATCCCGGCACCATTCCGGGGGATCCCGGCGCCGCTCCCTCACCTCGGCCGTGTCTTCGGCCTCGCCGTCCTCACCGAGCCCCACATCCAGAGCCGCCTCCTGGCTCTGCCGCCCGCCCGGACCCGGCAGCGGCTCCAACGGATCTGCAGCGGGATTGGGAATGACAGGGGGCGGGGGGGGGTGGCGCCGGCCCAGGACATCCCGGTACCGGGAGGATCCGGGTGCTGCCGGGTCCAGGCGCATCCCGGAACCAGCGGGTCCCGACGTGGAGACTCACCCGGGGAGCGGAGCTGCGCGGACGCGGCCATGCCGGGGCCTCCCGCTGCGGGACGGAAACGAGTCGGGGGGAGGAACCGGTACCGGGATCCCGGGAATGGACCTGGACCCCCGGATNGCGCGGCCTCGAGCGCGGCCCCGGCGGCGCCCGGCCGCCTCCCCGCGCGGAAACGCGCCTGTAACGCCGCGGCATTATTATTATTATTATTATTTTTAATGTCGTTGCTGCTGCTCTGTGGTAAATCAGCGTCTCGGCCGCGTTGCTGCGCGCGTTAGCAATCGACCTTTTCACTTTCTGTCGCCGCGCTGGGTAGCGAGCGATTTCTCCAGGTTGTTTTCGCCCTCGCGCCCACGCGGTTGTGCAAGCCACGTCCTTTCCTCCCGCAGTGGAACATCCTGCGCGCGCTCCTAGGCTTGTTCCCCTCGTTGCGCGCACAGATAGTCGGGTTTCTGGGTTCACACAGCGCACCTGGTATGCCCGTGCATCTCCAGAACTCACCTTGGGCCCCTTCGGCCGCGACTCGTGGCCATGCGTTTCATGTGCGTGTGCACGGGTGTGCTGTCACTGCCCGGGCTCGGGGAAGTACGGAGCAGAGAGCGAGAAGCTTGAGAAATAGGGGGATAACTTGAATCCTTCCCTAGCTCCTAAGAACGATTCCCTGAATTCCGGACTTCTAGTCCATCTCGTGTGTGTGTGTCTTAAGGCTGCTGAAAATACCGCCTTGCATTTCCCGGCCGTTTAAACGAGCACGCCTGGTCCCTTCTGGGCATAAGTGCAATAAATAAGCCATAAATCCCGGAGCGCTGCCCGCCAGGCTGCATCCTGCGTGTCCTGGATGGCGGGAGCGGCGCGGGGCCTCCCACGCAAACATGCACCCGCTTCCCTTCCTGTGCGCGGGGGAAGGAAGGAAAGGCCCCGGGGGAAGGAAAGGCCCGTCGGAAAGCAGCTCCCGGTGCTGGGTGCGTGCACCGAGAGGAGGAGAAGGAGGAGGAGGAGGAAGAGGAGGAGGAGGAGCGAGGGCCCTGGCCAGCCGTGGCTCGGGGCAACCGCTGCGGGTGACTCCTGCCTTGGGGACGCGGCTCCGCGTTCCCGCGCGTGGGCTGCTCCTTTCTCCCCCTTTCCGTAAGGGTTTAAACGCGGCAGCTCCGCAGCCTCTGTGCGTGGTGGCTTCATACCCACCTTTTAAGGTATTCCCTGACTCACTTGCCTACCTGCTGCTAATAAAATCTATGCAGGGCTCTGTAGCTTTTATATTTATATACATAAAATAAACTGAGCCCCATGTGTGACTGCTGCTTCTAGAGAACCCAAAGCTGGTGTCTGCTGGCTCTGCATCTCTGTGTTTAAAAGCTATTAAAAGGTAGAAGCGAGATCAATGAAATGCTGTCTCATTCCTTGGAAAACAGTATGAAACACTACCACAAAAGTAAGGTAGTGAAGCGAAGAATTGCTTGTAGACTAGTATCTGTTTTTAACTGGATTTCATCAGAATTTCAGTTGTGATATAGTTTTCATGGTATGCAATTAAAATTCCCTTTTTTTTGACTTCGAATTGGAAAGATGGAAGCTTGTTCCTTGGTTTTGTATACACCATAAATGTTTTATTTATCAACTTGAATTTAGTGAAAACCTAGGACTTTAAGTTCATCTGAAATATCTTCCTTTTTTAACTTTATTACTTTTTTAATAACAGTCTCTTATCTATCAAAGTTTTGTTTAAAAGACTTACTGCCATAAAAATAATAATAAAAAAGATGATATGGCCATTGCCCTCGTATTTAGGACCCAGCATGTAGCGCACTGTAGAAAAGAGTGGTCAACTTAACTCCTTGTTTATCAATACAAGCTACAAGGCAGGTGAGAGGGGGAACATGAGCGTATGATTCTCCAAGTGAAATGCCAATTAAAGCATTTTAGTGCCATCACAGTTGGTTGTTAGAGATTTTTGCCCATAAAAAAGTGATCCAAAAAAAAAAAAGCCCATCAACTGATGCTACTGGATGCTACTGTTCTGCGTAAGTTTTCTATATAAATCTTTACTGTGTGGATGTGTATGTTTCTATGCCCAGGTTGTCTTGGGCATGTTGCTGCTACTGAGGCTACTTCCTGCACTGTTGGGTTGTTCTGATGAGAGTTGTGTGGCTCAGTTTCGAATTTCTTCAAGAAAGAAAAGTATCTTGGGTGTTCTTATTAGTTTGGAAAATGTCCTTTGATAAGCTGGTATCAAAATATAGAACATGAAAAGGATGGTGGAAAAAAGAAAAAAAGAAGAAAGCCTGCTACAATTGTGAGGGAACTTAAAATCGTGTAGCAGTTTGGGTTCTCACTTTTGTGGCTTCAGTTCTGACTTCTGCTGTATGTGTAAGGCATCCAGTGATGGAAATAGGCATATGAGAGATGCATATATTCCAGGTGTACACTGGATTTCAACTTTTTGCCCAATCGGGGCAATTCAATCAGGGCTCTTACAAAAATGAAAATGAGGAGAGCTGAGAAATTGTGCTTTTTTTTTTTTTTCTTTTTTTCTCCCTGAAATGCTTGGGTGACAAGTACCTGTGCTGTCCTGCTAACTGATGGTGCTGGGTTTGTGAGTGCGTGTGCTGCCAGCACATGGTGAGTGAAACCATTTGGACTAGTTTGCCTGTTGGTGTGTCCACAAACAGGTAGTGCGGATTAGCTGGTAAACTGGCCCAGGCACCTCACTGGTAGCTCGCCTTTTCCCAGTGTGCCCTGGATTAGGAGTGTTGTTATTTATTGTAATGGCTGTTGTCATCTTTAGGTGCAGAGAGGAGAAAAAAGAGGCCTTGCCTGAGGTGTAGGAAAGCCCTTGAGCAAAGGGACGCGCAGTGGCTGAGGAGGAGAGATTCTTGGGGGAGAAGTCCCGCTGGAGGCTGCCGTGCAGAGCTGGCGGCTGCGCTGGAGCTCCGAGGGGCCCGGCTGCTGCTCGCGGGGCTGCTCTTGTGGGGCCAAAGCTGGTGGCCAGAGCTCGGTGCGCTTCCCTTCAGCAGTTGGTGCTCCTTAAGCCAGGAGGGTCAGCTCTGAAAGCTCAGCCGCCTCCCCAAAGCAGCGTGTTTACTGTTTGGTTGCTGCGGGGTCAGGTCAGTAGGCAAAAAACTTGGAAACCTTGTTGTAAAACATAGCTCTGCCTTCTGAAGGTGTCAGTCCATGGAGGAGCCTTCTCCAAAGCGGGGTGTTTGTTTATGCGTTGTAATGGACTGACTTGAAAAATACCCGAACAAACAAAAAGCCTCACACCTTCTTTAGGGTTTAGCTAAGCAAGGTGATTTAGAACAGAATGGGGAAGACTTCTTTAAAAATGAGCTTAGAGCTGTGAAGAATAGATCATTGTAAAGGTCTGAAAGTCATTTACATGAAGCCAGTAGCTGAGTTCACAAACACACAAACATACACATACACACACATACACACACACACACACACACACATCTCCCCCAGCAGTGTTTTACCTGTTCCTTTAATAATTTGAAGGGCCTCACAATACGATTAGTATCTGTGTGAGCTGATGCTTAAGCACCAATGTTAAGGAACTGGAGGTGCTGGGCTGCCACTTAGTACTCCAGCTACTTACATCCCAGTGCTAATTCCTAACCTGTTGCTACTCTGGGGAAGAGGAGGCAAGCAACTCTACCCAATTGGCTACTGAAACTTAGTGTGATATAGAAGCACGTTACTAAGGACAGCTGAACCATTGCTCAGTAGCATCCAGTTGTTCTACCACATGTAGCATGATTATCTAAACATTACTTCCAATAATTAAAAACCTTTTGAAAAAACAGTATTTCTGCAGTCCTCCTTAAATTGAGTAGTCAGTGCAGTGCCTTTGCATCCAAGACGGCAAAGAAAAGTGGAACAAATGTCATTTAAATCTGCTGAGACGACGTCTTTGATTTCCTGGACCCTTTTACCTACTGCAGTGGACCAGGCTCTTGTGTGCATCTCGTTTGGGTAATTTTAGCCATTGGAAATCCCTGTTTCTTAAAAGCTGTAATGGGAGCTAAAGGACAACGAGATAGCTGTCGGTGAGCTTCCTTTGCTCCTGCTTTGATAAGCAGAGGAGCACTGTGCAACTGGTGGTAATAAGTAATGAAAAGGCTGAATCCAGGGCTGGACTATTCTCTGTGCCTGTATAACACTTTTACTAACTTTGTTTTGAGCATTGTTGTTACATTTAAGGCTATTGTTAAGCTCCAGGAGCCCCTTGCGAAAATCCAAGTGGAAAACAGGCAGAAGTTTCCACTTTTTCTTTGGGTAGAGTATAAATTACTTCTACTGTGCAAGCACAGGGAGGACTTTATGAGGTTTCCTGATCTGAGAAATCATACTTAAGGACATAATTATTTGCCAAAAGTGTGTACGAGTTGGGTATTTAGCACATCTCCTAATAGACAAAAAAAGAGGAATTTGATGCATCAGAATAGTGCGTGCAAACTCACTTTTTGCTGTTCCCGCAGCCGTTGCCGGCTCTTGTAGACGCGCGGGAACTCGGTGCCGTAGGAATGAGCCGCTCCAGAGGAAATGCCTTAATCTCCTGGCTAGCAAACGCAAGTGGTGGTGTCATCTTCTCGTGGGTCCGTGTGGCCTAGCGAGCGCCGCTGGCTGCTCCCTGCGGAGCCTCCCGCGCGGAGCAGCCCTTGGCAGCCCCATCGGAGCAGCTCGGAAGGCCTCCCATTAATCAGTTCAGAGCCTGAATCCCACTGTGCGTGTTCTGCCTCCAGCCTCCTTGCTGTCTCCTAATTTAAAAGTCGATGTTAAATTTATGTCCTTTTTTTTTTTCCCTTTTATTTTTATTTTATTTTCCTCTTAGGCTTGTGCATATGGTGGAGTGCAAAAGAGCCTGGCAAACCGCTAGCTCCCGAGCAGCAGGAAGGGCCGAGGAGGCGGCGGCGCCGCGTGCCCCTCGGGCAGGTCTCTCCCGCGGCGCCGCGAGGCCGAGCACCCTTCCCCGCCGCCGCCTTTCCGGAGGGCGCCCCGCTGCAAAGGGCGCGCAGCTGAGAGGCGCCTCACGTCTCC